TTTTTCTAATCATGCCTAGGGTCAGGTTCTATTTGGTGTTAGCGTATCTTTTTAACACCTCTAAACATACTTGCTAATCTCTTGAACAAAGAGAAATCTGGCCTCAGATTTAGAATCTTCTGTGATCGCTTCTCGGCCTTTTGGCTAAGATCAAGTGTAGAATCTTCTGTGACAGGCCACAGTATTAAGCTACAATTTAATAACATTGCTTTGTTATCACTGCATTCATTTCCATAGTTACCTTTAAATTATGGCAAACAATACTGGTTTCCATTTGTAATAATGACTTAACTTTTAAAAATATATTTATATCAGTTTCAAAAAGGGGAGTTAATTAATTAATTTTTTAGTGAGCTCTACACCCAATGTGGGGCTTTAACTCATGACCCCGAGATCAAAGGTCCCATGTTCCTCCAACTGAGTAACCCAGGTACCACAAAAGGAGGGTTAGTTTAAAAAGAACATAAACTAGGGGATCCCTGGGTGGCTCAGCAGTTTGGCGCCTGCCTTTGGCCCAGGGTGTGATCCTGGAGTCCCGGGATCAAGTCCCGTGTCGGGCTCCTGGCATGGAACCTGCTTCTCCCTCTGCCTGTGTCTCTGCCTCTCTCTCTCTCTCTGTGTGTGTCTATCATGAATAAATAAATAAATCTTCAAAAAGAAAAAAAAGAACATAAACTAGATGACCTACTACATGGCAAAAATTATGAAGATGGCACTAGAAGTTTGGGAAACACTGGGCCAGAAGATTGTTAAAGTCCCCTCAACCCTGGAAGTGAGTGCTGGTGCCCTAGGGTGTCAGGCTGTGATCTCCCCTGGCCCGCTTCCTTCTTACTGGCCTTCAGCTTGCAGACACCTAACAAACTTCACCTCCTCCCTGGAGCTTCTTCAGATCCAACAGCCTGACTAAAAGTCATATCCCTCATTCTGCTCCCAAGTCATGTTCATCCATGGATTGCAGCATTTATTTCCCAGTACCATAACCTTCTCTTTATGTTTATCTCCCATCTAGAACATGAACTCCTTGAGGTAGGAATTATGTCTTGGCATTTTATCCCCAAGACATATATTAAGATGTTCTGCATCTTGAGGGTACTTGAGGAACATATGCTGAATAAATGAGCCCATGCTTGGTCCCCCCTTTTTTTTTTACTGAATGCAAAAAGACAGTGGAAGAACACTACCAGAAATTCATCTACCATAATTTCAGTTCAACACTTCTTTAAAAGTGTTCTATCATCCATTTAAACTGGATGGTAGGACACTCACCTTTCTGATCTCAGCTTCAAGCACTAAATTAAATAAGAATCTTTAAATCTGTTTCAAAGAGGCCTTGCCACATGAAATGTTCATAAAAGCAAACTTTTCTTCAAGAAACTTACCAGGATTGAGAAGAGATCAATCACACCAGCACAAGACCACTTACAAATGTACTTATGACTTCTGCAACACAGACCAGAACTGGATAAATATCCAAGAACACTCCTTCCATGTCCTTCTAGGGGTAGGACATAATACCAGAAAACACTAGATTCCATTCCAGCAGTAAAGTACGGTCCAAACTGAGGTCTAATGTCATAAATGACATATGAACATCACAGTGCTTTATCATACAGAAAGGGGGTACTTTCAAATGTGAAAAAACATTAAGGAAGGCCCTCTTTAAAATTCAGAGGTTGCAGAGTCCCTGGGTGGCTCAGTTGGTTAAGTGTCTACCTTCAGCTCAGGTCATGATCTGCGGTCCTGGGATGGAGCCCTGCATTGCGCTCCCCGCTCGAGGTGGTCTGTTTATCTCTCTCCTCTCTGCCTCTCCCCCGCACTTGTGCCTGCTCTCTCTCTCTCAAATAAATAAAATATTTAAGAAAAAATTCAGAGGTTGCTCCCTCTGAAATATGAGGCTTTCTCAATTATATTCTTCATGTCACTTTGGGATTGGACCCATCCCTCATATGCAGGTATAGTGTAAGAATCTTTAAGCCACATAGGAAATGATATTCTTTTGACTGGAATAAATCTGTCAACAAAAAGGTACAGGTTAACTACACTAAATATCCTCTGCAGGTTCTTTTTTTTTTTCCTTATTAAAAATACACATTAAAGTCCAGCATAGTGCCTTTATTGCCCACATCTGTTTGCTATTCTATCTCCATTATTAACACTGTAATGCAGGGTCCCTACTCAGGCAAGATTAATTCGCTGTTGCCAAAGCCTTCTGACATTGCAATGGATCAGTTTGGAAGGCTATCAAGGCAGGTCCAAGCATTGCTCTCAACATGGGATTAGTAAGGAGATGAGGCCTGGGCCCCCAGCTTGATGAGAGAGAAGAGGAAGTTGGGTTGGACCTGTGATCAGAGAGGTAGAAGACTCTAGTGGTTAAAAGCCCAGACTTTGGACTCAAGACAGTTCAAGTGAATCCTAATTCTTTTATTTTAGGCAATTCATTTGCCCCTGAAGTGACTCAGTTTTCTCCTCTATAAAACGAAGATAATAAAAGAACCTGGTAAGATTGTAAAGTATTTGATGCGATGATAAAGTTGATGCTAAGAACTAAAACAAAGGGGAAAAAAACCCTGATGATTATCATCTTCTTTATCATGATACCATCATCACCCCCAGAATCATCCCCTTATGCTGCTGGGGCAGGGCAGGAAGAGCCCTGCTAGTCTTTCAACCTACACATGCTAAGTAGTCATCACCAAGATACCAAATGATAATATAGAAGGGAAAAAAGACAAGACAGAAAGCAAAAAGCAGGAGAGGATATGGTACAGAAATAGAATCAGTTCTTGATTAACCATGCTAATGAGGGGGGAGGAAGACAATATTTAAGTTGAAGAAAAAGAAATCTCACAAAAGACTGTAGAAGAAAAAAAAATATATATATATTTTTTTAATTCTAGATAGTAACTTGCTCGAGGACATGATATAATTGTCTAAAAGCACAGTCGTTAAGAGCCTGAGCTCTGGAGCCAGAATGCCTTGTTAGAATCCTGGCTCCAGGGACCCCTGGGTGGCTCAGTGGTTGATGGTCTGCCTTTGGCTCCCAATGTAATCCCAGGATACTGGGATTGAGTCCCACATCAAGTTTCCCACAGGGGGGGCAGCCCCAGGGGCACAGCGGTTTAACCCCACCTGCAGTCTAGGGTGTGATCCCGGAGATCTGGGATCGAGTCCCAAGTCAGGCTCCCTGCATGGAGCCTGCTGCCTGTGTCTCTGCCTCTCTCGCTCTCTCTCTCTGTGTCTCTCATGAATAAATAAATAAAATCTTTTTTAAAAAAAGATGTTTCCCGCAGGGAGCCTGCTTCTTCCTCTGCCTATGTCTCTGCCTCTCTCTGTGTGTCTCTTATGAATAAATTAATAAAACCTTTAAAAAAAAATCCTGGGGATCCCTGGGTGGCACAGCGGTTTAGCGCCTGCCTTTGGCCCAGGGCGCGATCCTGGAAACCCGGGATCGAATCCCACGTCGGGCTCCCAGTGCATGGAGCCTGCTTCTCCCTCTGCCTGTGCCTCCGCCTTTCTCTTTCTCTCTGCGTGATTATCATAAATAAATAAAAGAAAAAAAAAGAAAAAAAAATCCTGGTTCCACCCATCCAAGCTGTGTGACCTTAAGCAAGTTATAGACTCTTTGTATTTCAGTTTCCTCATCTGTAAAATGGAACAGATAGGAGTATCTACCAGTATTATATGGTTGTGGTGAAAATAAAATCAGTTTATACATGCAAAGTGACTATAATAATACCTGGCTCATAATCAATGCTTAATAAATGTTAGCTTTCATTATTAGTATTGCTGTTATTGTTTCAGCTGACTTAATACTAAGTTGATGTTTAACTTAATATTAAAATTTGTTTAAATTCAGTGGCTATAGGTGTACATAGGAGGGCAGGTAGAATTTAGAAGTATACAGGGAAGGGGCACCTGGGTGGTTCAGTCAGATAAGCATCTGCCTTAGGCTCAGGTCATGACCTCAGGGTCCTGGGACCAAGACCCGCATCCACTCCCTGCTCAGTGGGGAGTGTGCTTCTCCCATTCCCTCTGCTCCTCACTGACTTGTGCTCTCTCTCACACACACGGAAATAAAAAAATCTTAAACAAACAAACAACTCGGGCTCCCTGCATGGAGCCTGCTTCTCTCTTTGCCTATGTCTCTGCCTCTCTCTCTCTCTCTCTCTGTCTCTCATGAATAAATAAATAAATAAAATCTTTAAAAAAGAAAAAACAACTATTAGAAGTATACAGGGGGCAGCCCAGGTGGCTCAGTGGTTTAGCGCTGGCTTCGGCCCAGGGTGTGATTCTGGAGATGCAGGATCAAGTCCCATGTCGGGCTCTGTGCATGGAGTCTGCTTCTCCCTCTGCCTCTCTCTGTCTCTCATGAATAAATAAATAAAATATTTAAAAAAAATAGAAGTATACAGGGAGAAAATGGGAGACAAACTAGAATAAAAAATGTACTATGGATAATCTGAGCACAGACAACTGCAGGTGATGAGGAAGTAGGTAAAATCAATAGAGGGAGAGAGATGGATGCATTCATGATAAAGCAAGTAAAGTAAAATGTTAATTGCAGAATCTAGGTAGTGGATATTTGCTTGTTGGCTATAAAATTCTTCCAGCTATGCCTTATGTTTAAATTTTTTTATTATAAGCTAGAGGGGGAAAAAAAACAAGTAGACTTAGAGACAACAAATCAAATTCTGCATCAGAGCTACACTGCCTGTCCTCTGAGCTCAAACACCAGAGCAAGCTTAGAAAAACCTAATGGTTTTGGAACACTTGCTCATCATCAATACTGTCCTGTACCAGATGAGCAGAGGTCAGGTGCTGACTTGGATCACTTTGGCACAAGTAGATATAAGCAGAAGGTAGAAACCCAAAGGTTCCATCTAAGAAGTGCCAACCTCAGAGAACTATGACATTATCACCCCTGCTCAGGGAAACCCCAGAAATAAGACTCAAGGCTAAAGAACAGACAGGTGGAGGATGGGCAAGTGTCATACACTTACTCATGGACTCTGCTGTCACCATAGAGATCACTCAGGCCAAAGCTGATGTAGTGCCAGTGTTCAGGGATATTGGCAGAAGGGCTCCCCACATTCCTGTACATGCTAACATAGTCCAAGGGGTCTGGGCCACCCAACCTGCAAAAGACAAAACACAGTCAGTGAGAGCCTGAAAGTACACAACGTGAAGCTAAGACATTATGCCTTACAAATCTAAAGACCCCATCCTGGAAGAACCTGGAATGAAAGATAACTAAAAGGAACATCTCTGTGATAAGACCAAGGGACAGGTAGCTAGAAGCTGCCCAATTCCATAAGCACAAGACGCTCCCTTCTATCCCCAACATGCAGGACCTCTTTTAAAAAATAAAACAGACTGGGTGGTTGTCCCTTTTGCTTCTTCCTAATTCAAATTACCAATCCCAAATGGGATTGGCAGGGATTATCTCTCTTCCATGGTGCCTGTAAATATAACAAACTTCAAGGGAAGAGGTGCATCAGTCAATCAATCAGCTTCTGTTGAAAGATCATCCTGAGCATCCCCAATGGGCATTGTTCCTGGAAGCAGAGGCTCGGCTCCACTCCTGCCTCTTAGACAGCTAATTCCTGAAAGACTATATTGTGCCCTATGTTAATTACAGTTTGTTCTAAACAAACTCAATGGCTCCAGACTCCAGCCTGTACCCCACAGACCAAAGCTGGTCTTTTCTCATGCAAGTGACAAAGGCCATACTTAGGCTAGCTCAGCCCTGCACAGAGAACTGCAGCAGGCCAGACTGACCCGTGAGAGTGCCTGCAGTCAGAAGATGATCCCAGGAGACTGTCGCCTCAAAGGTAGGGCTAGAATATTAAATGATTTGGGGCCTCTGAGGACCACATTAAACTTCCCCCATAATTCTAACAGACAAGAAGCTGAGGAAGAGACTCAGTCATTAGCTCACTCTGAGGATTTAATTCCATAAGGGTTTCCTTTAGTAGAGCAATTAATGTTCTCTCTTAAAAAAAAAAAAAAAGTCCTGCTTTTCTTCAGAATGGATAGGGAAACTTAATAGACTTGAGAAACAGCCTAAATGGAAACAATCAGCGGAAGGAAGTCTGCATTTAGCCCACAAACACTCTGCCTGGGAGCTGCCTCGGACATCTGACTATTCCACAGACTGCAAAAACTTTGCCTGCCCCTAGGACGTTGATGGAGTACACTTTGCAATTGGCATCATATGCTGCAGGAACACTAATAACCAAATAAAAGACATGCTACATGTGATCCCAGCAAGAGTTCCAGTACCATGCAATTTAAATACTATTTAAAACCAGTAAGTCTGGTTTCATCCTCTTTTGCCAGGATATTATTTGCCTTTATAGAAATCCTTATTCTCTGCTAGGAAATGCTAAGTTATTTATAGATCTTGTAAGAAAGTTGCTACAAATAGCTCAGAAACTCAACTGAGTGGATTAGGAAAAGAGACAAATCCCCATGTCCTTCCTTAACTCTGATTTGACCAAATCATTTGAATGTTTCCACAACTAGTTGAATATAGAAAAGTTTGCTGGGGGAAGGAGGAAACATAGGGGTAGCTATCTCTGAAAGAACCACATGATAGCTGCAGAACCCCAGAACAGATGGGAGTGACTACAAACTCCAGAGCTGCTCCAGTTTCCTGCTGCAAATTCCCAGTCTTGCCCCTTTCAGCCTAAGTGCATCCAGCAACAAGTGGCAAAACTGTATCCACAGTTCCATACTCCATCTGTCACACCTCTGCAGCCCTCTCTCAGGAGATACTGCATCAAGGATCGAGGCTTTATCTTAAAACCACAACTGTAAGGAATAACCAAGAGTCAGACAAAATTAACCTTGTCCCCAAGCACAGTGTTCTGTTCTACTTACTCAGACACCTGATGGGAAACAGATGATTATGTAGAAAACAATCATATCTTGCACTTAGAAAAATATGTTATCCAAAGACCCAGAGTATCCCTTGATGCTCTTCCTTGAACTTACTTCCTTGAACACCTAACTTCATTCCACATGACAGCTGTAGGACTGCAGTGGCTCCTGGGTACAAGCTCTGCCTCTGTGTTTCTATTCCCTGCCCACTAAAGTATCAGCTTTCAGCCAGGATGTCCCCGCTGGCCAAGGTTCACTAGCCAAAGAACCAACCTTCTGTCACAAGAAAAGGAATCTCGAGGGACCGTGGGCCACAGCCAGACCCAGGTAGCCTTGGTCAGTCAAACTGCTAACGAGGCCTTGTGGCATCCCAAGTGTGATGTATATTAATGAATTAATTTCAGAATCTTAATTATGCAAACCCTTCCAAATCTCAGAAAGAACTAGTCACTCAGCTGCTCCTTCTTATATTTTTCTGCATTTGGCCAGCATTTCTAATCTCACAAAGTACTCTTTATTAGTCATTACATGTTGGCCCATTTCTGAAGATAAATCCTGCCTGGTTAACAAGCTTGCCCAAATCAGACTTAGTGCTTTAATATCTTCTGCACAGAATTCTATCCTTCATGGCCAACTGGATGACATAAAAACAGTTGCCTAAGTCTGTGTAGGGATTTCTCTGTTCATTCAAATGAGACCTGAACCAATAGCATTGCAGAACCAGGCCCTCTTTCCCCATGACGCAATCCAATACAGTTCATCACAACACATACTTAAATATAGACAAGAAATGAGAATGGGTGATTAAGTTATCAAGAGCTGCTTTTTCACTCAGAAGCTCTCTTCAAAAACTCCTCTCAACCAAAGAACAGTTTGCCTGCTGAAGAGAGAAGTGTACCACTGGCCACATCTCCTTCTGGCTACCAGACATGACCCTCTCATAGGAGGTGGCTGGTCCCCAGGCCCTGTCTCTTCATATTGTCCCACTGACACAGGCAACTGGCCAGAGCCCCAGACAGTCTGGTTTCTGCCATCCCCAGAGGAAGTTAAGAGGTTATCCTGGAGAATCTTCCATCCTAAAAGAAGAGGTAACCAGCAAAGACATCCACTCTCTCAACCTCCCCCTTTGGTCTACCTGCCCCCTTGGCACATCCCAAGCTTTTTTCTGAACAGTCTTTCAGGACTCAGTGAAGGGGATTATTTAATACAGTGCCTGCATGAATGCAGTTCTGGACAAATTCTACCAATTCCTCAGTCAATATGGTCCAGAAAGACCATGAAGACAGGTTCTTTGTCAGAGTCCCTCTAACACCTGTTTTGCCCAGTGGCTGTGAAAAGAGATAGGTTGCAAACAGGAATGGGAAACAAGAAAGGACCATTCCTACCCCAAGGGCAGGCCTTCTATGATCCTGAACAGAGCCACTTGAGGGTTACTCTCAGCTTCCCTGAGAGACTCTGGTCTAAATCCTGAAGCTTGGGCCAGGAAGCCCCTCTAAACATCTGGCTGCACTTCTTTGCTCCGTGTCTCAGGTCTTCATCATTTACTGGGGTCCCCGGCAATCTGAGCCAAACCATGGATCTATCTCCCTGACCGTGCCTCTGTTCTAGCCAATGTCCTAGGCAAAGCGGGTGCAGAGCCAAAGGAAGCTCTGCTTGGAGAAAGAGAACTGTGCCGAGTAAGCAGAAAGTTTATCAAGAAAAGTTGCTCCGTGAAACTTCAAACGCAAAAGCACTGCACCGATAGGACTGACGTCTGAGCTCATGGGGAAGGCATCTTAAAAGGAGACCTCCTCTTCCTCTCTTCACAAGCACGACTCTCGCAACTTGCCTCCCTCCTAACCTATGGGAGAGCGGGGATCCCCAAATCCACCGTACCCTGTGCAGTCTCAAGCCCTCTGAGCTCGCCAGCCGCACTCCTCCAAAGCCCTCTCTTGTGCTCCCCAGGCCCCGCCTCGCCTCCCCCATCCCACTTCAGCCGCCCTTCTCCACACCCCCCCCCGCCCCCGGCTTCCCTTAGCCCACTAATGACCCCCTACAGGCGCCCCCTCCTTTCACCACGTTTACAGTTCCCTTTCTCCTATCGCCCCCCCCGCTCCTACACACCCCCCCAATTCACTCTATTCTCCTAATCCCAGTTAACCCTTCATCCTCCCCCCTCGTTAACCCTTCTCTACCCAGAGGCTCCGTTAACCCCTTTGTCCCCGTTCCCAACTTCAGCCTTAACTCCTTGCCTCGCAGCAGGACGCCCTCTTTCCAAGTGCTTTAACCATTCTTCTCCACCTCCTCCTCCCCCGCAGATGACTTCCCCCGGGCGTTCTAACCCTTCCCAGCCCGCCCTCGTCCGTCTCCCCGCGGCCCAGGGCATACCAGTACTTGACGATAGCGGTAACCTGGAGCGGGTTCGGCTGGTCAGGGTAAAGGCGACGGCACTCTCCGTAGATGGCGTGCAGTCCCGGGGGGAAGAGCGAGGCGAAGGCCGGGGGTGCACTAGGGCCAGGGGCCGGGGGCGCGGCGGGGCCGGGGGCGCCGCTAGGCCGCAGCTCCGCCATCCGGGCGCGTAGGGCGCTGGGGGGACCGGGGAGGGTGGACGAGGGGGAGAGCTCTGACGCGCCAGCAGGCGGACTCCGTGGGTGCGACTCCCCCAGGCGATGGGGGCTGCAGCGAGGTCTAGGCTCCGCGCCTGCGCACGGCGCACCGTCTGCCCAGGCCGTCGCCGCCGCAGAGACAGCCGGAGGGTGCCTCGGGGGCCGCGGAGCGCTCGAGGGGGCGGGGCGTCGGCGCGCCCTATCCCGGTATCCATTGGCTAGTGTCTGTGCCAGTCACAGATGGGGAAGGCGTGACTTGGCAATAGGTCCCGCCTCCCTCTCCTTGTGTTGGGGGGGTCCCAAGGCTCTTGGCCTCCCCCTAGTGTTAGGAGGAACCCAGATTTAAATAGAAATGTTGAGGCATCCTCAGGTGCTAGGGTCCCAGGAAAGCTGTGGGAAGCTCGCTGACAAACGACTTGTCGCTATTCTGCTGACACCCTGCTAACAAGAATTTAAGCACAAATTTGACAATAGTGGATTGATTCATTCGTCCATTTAGCGTGGTTTTAGTTGTAATAGATTATAAATCTGAATGTTTCCTACCATCTTTGAATGTCCATTTACCATATTTACTGACACTAACCCAGCCAAATTCAGGGGTTGTATGTTGAAATATTTACTTTGGAGTCTTGTTAAAAAGTAGCAAGAAAAAAAAAAGTAGCAAGAGTTAGGGACGCCTGAGTGGCTTAGTGATTGAACGTCTGTCTTTTACTCGAGGAATGGTCCCAGAGTTCTGGGATAGAGTCCCACATTGGGCTCCCTGTAGGCAGTCAGCTTCTCTCTCTCTACCTATGTCTCTGCCTCTCTCTCTGTGTCTCTCGTGAATAAATAAAATCTTTTTTTTTTTTTTTAAAGTAGCAAAGGCAGCCCCGGTGGCGCAGCGGTTTAGCGCCGCCTGCAGCCCAGGGCGTGATCCTGGAGACCCTGGATCGAGTCCCATGTCAGGCTCTCTGCATGGAGCCTGCTTCTCCCTCTGCCTCTCTCTCTGTGTGTCTCTATGAATAAATAAATAGAATCTTTAAAAAAATAAGAAAGTAGGAAGAGTTAGGTAAAGTAAGACTAGTTTTTAAAACTTGGTAATTTTTTGTCTTTATTTTTTAAAAGATTTTATTTATTTGAAAGAGAGAGAGAGAACAGTGGGGGAGAGAGGCAGAGGGAGAGGAAGAAGCAGACTCCCTACTGCTGGATTCCAGGATCCAGAGATCATGACCAGAGCTCAAGGCAGACACTTAACCTACTGAGTCACCCAGGCACCCCAAGACTTGGTAATTTTTAAAATAAATGTTTTTAGTGATGACAATCTCTTCTTTGTTCTGTTTTATGCAGATTGCCTTGAGGAACATCAATATTCATTATCTACTATAGACCTGTTCTTTCCCATTACCATTGGCTTTCTGTAACTGGGAGAATTTTTTGTTATTTTAAGTAATCTCTACATCCAATGTGGGGCTCGAAGTTACAACCCCCAGATCAAGAGCCATGTGTTCTACCGATTTAGCGAGCCAGCCACCCCTGGGAGAATTTTTAATTCCTAAGCCACCTAGTTGAGAATTATTTTCCAGGATACAATAAATAATTCCAAGAGAAAGGAATAAAAGGAAGTCCTAATTACCAGTGCTATTGACTAAAGGGTCTCCACTATTTGAACGGGAGGGATTGCATAATCTAGAGATAGATGCACTGGTCTCATTTGAAAGCAGTGACACATAACTTCTCCTTACCTCCATTTTCTCATTTATCAATGTCAATTGTAACTCTCCATGAAAATAAGAGATAATAAAGCAGTTCCTGAAGCTATTAAATAAACGATGTTTTTTAGTGATCAAAAGATCACCTGTACCCAAATGCCAGTCTTCAGACCGATGTTGGCCTGTTGCAAAGTTTATACCAACCCAGGAAAAAATGCGAAAAGAACCAAAATGTGCTGGTTTTTTTTCCCGAAAAGCAAATTTTATAAAATTTATGTTTTTGTTCTGGATGTAGGTCCTCCTTCCGTGTGTGTATGTGTATGTTTGTGAGTGGGTATTAAATTTTCCTTTATTAGAGTTTGATGCTGATAAATGTTTATTAATGTCATATCCAAATAAAACCACAGCAACTTTATACTATCCAGGGGAAGTGGTGGCAGGACTGATCTGAAAAATCTAAACATCCACGAAATACTGGCCAATCAAAACCCAACTACAGATAAGCACTCAAAGAGACTACATACTTCAGCATGCACTGCGGATCGCTTCAAAGGAACTACAGATCCAGGCATGCATTACTGCCATCAATCTAGGTCCCGGTCCATTCATCTACGGATACTACAAAGCCCAGGGTACTATGTTTTCAACGTGACGCCCTCCTCTTAAATTAGGCGGGGCTCTGAAGCGGCCAGGAGCGTTAATCTCAGGTACAAAGCATGCTGGGGGTTGTAGTTCTTTGGAGGCGAGGTCGGGCCGCTCCCTGGACGCCCTGTGCCGGCGGCTAGACTGCGCATGCGTGTCAGTGGCGCTAGCAGCGGACCCGGCTGGCAGTTCCTTCCTCGGAAGGAGAGATTCTTCTGCCATGGAATCCTACGATGTGATCGCCAACCAGCCTGTCGTGATCGACAACGTGAGTTGCGTCTTTCCTATCTCTAAAAGGATTTATGCTCTCTTTCCCAAAGGGATCGCTTCCCGAGTTTCGGCCTGAGCCACCGGCTCTTTGTCACTGGCCCAGCCTGTCAGGCGGGTTTAGCCGCCGCCGCCTTCGTCCTCCCCTCACCCGTAGTCCGCAGGCCAGGGCGGCTGGCCAGCAACCATGGGATGGAGAACTTTGGGATGGATAAAGGGAAGGGCTGTAGTCCGAGCTGGGTCCTTGGCCCCTGCCTCGAGGGGCCTTAACAGCTCTGTGAGCGCCCGGCGTCCGCCCCCTCCCCAGTTTCCAATAACTCTATTGGTTGCTCCGGCTGTCCGTCTCGACCGATGACCCCGCCTCTGGGCCTTGCCGGATGAGGGCAGCCCTCCGTCGTGATTGGCTTGCTCCCCTGCCGTTCTTCCGGGCCGCCATAGTGTTTCCTCTGTCTGAGGGGTGGGCAGGTGTACGAGAGCTGCGGGGATTGGCTTCGGGAGCGCCACAGTCAGTGGAGAGGCCTGACGGGCTGGGGCCCGCCCTCGGGTGGAGAAGGGCTAAGTTTCCTTCGGTCCCCAGCCCGATAGGCGGCTTGGTGGTGTGTATGGGTGGGGCTCGGGAATCTGGTGCCAGAAATTGCCATAGGATTTTAGTTATTTCTCTGATTATAAATTAACAATGTTAATAAAGATCCAGAAGAAAAGAGAGTGACCAAGCAAGCAGGGAAGTACCATCCTTTTGGGAACGCCTAACAGCTGGGGAAAAATATTAAACCTATTTGCCAGGCGCTCAAGCGCTGACAAGGGCGGGGGGGGGGGGAGTCATGTACATTCGAATTGAGTCCTCACAAAAATTAGGTGGATAGTTAAGGCAGGAACTTTGATCCTCGTTTTATAAAGGAAAAAAAAAAAACAAAAACAAAAACTGAAGCACGAAGAGGTGAAGTGAGCCCAAGGTCACACGGTAGAGGTGACCTAAATCCAGTGCTTTATCCGCTATTCCTCTTGCTAGTAGGCAAGACGCAAATGCATTTATAGTGACAAAGGAAAGAATCTAAATACCCGCTCTTATTTGGGGCGGAGAGCTGACTATTGTAAAACAACTGCATTTCTATCTTCCACTCAAAGGGCTCCTCCCGCCAAGATTGGTTGGTGCCTTCTGGGTCCCCCTGTTGAGGCAAAACTGTCAGTTCTGTCTGCCCTCAGCTGTCGGATTCATTCTGTTGATTCAGCCCTTGGGACCTTAGGCCTGTTACAAGGTGCCTTCGTTTGCATCATCTCGTTCAAGCGCTCTTGTAGGTAGATAAGAATGACTGTCCCGCGTTTATCCAGGAAGGTGAAACTTAGGTTAAACAACAGTATTCAAGCCACTTGTAGAAATTGAGGAGCCAAGACTCAAATTGAGGTTGGGTTCCAACTTTCTCACTTTTTCCAAAGAAAGGTGCTTTTTTGTTGTTAGCTTTCCTTTTTTCCAGAAGTATAGTTTCTGCCTTGAAAAGCAGGAGGATGAGCTCAATGACACATTTCATTTGGGGGGAGGAATTTTTGTTTTGCTTTGTTTTGTTTCGTTTTGTTTCTTTTTGTCTTCCTCCCTGTACTGTTAAATGCTTGGGGGGAAGGATGACATTCTTTCATTTTTTATTGCTCTCCCCTTCCGACCTTCCTCCATAAATATAGCACCTAGGGCTTGGCACCATTATGTGCTCAGTAATTGTTTTTTCATTGGATTGATGGGTGGGTGGATGAATGACCAATTATCACAGTAACAAAGATGTCCCTAAATAAGGAAAGGGCTGAAGTGGGGAGAATCCTCTAGTTAGTAACTACAGAGTGCTGAGTAGGGCTCCTTGTTCTTGATTCCATTTTCAGAGAACACTTTCTATCTTCAGCCAGTTTGTATGTACTTCGTCTGCATTTCTTAATTTTAAAAAGGAAAAAATAGAAATTAAAAATTTCCTATTTTCCTTAGCAATGCATAAGGAGCAGTCTGTCCATCCCATTAGATTCTTTGATTCTGAAATTGTTGGACAAGAGTTCCATCTCCAGCCATTTTCTTTATGTCAGTTAAGCTAATGCTTTTTAGTTTCTCCTTTCTTTCTCCATAGTGTATTTGAAATGCATCCGTGTAGTGGTGCATCTTCAGCTTTAGGATTTAAAGAATTGATTTATTTTCTCTAGGAAAACATTTCTTTTATTATGCCAGTAATTCTGCCAAAAGGTGAAGTAGGAGGAATTCTCCCAATTCTGAGCATCTGCCACATTTTTAGATCTGGGACCTCAGGTAGTTCTTGCTGTTTGACATTTAGAGAGTTGTTTGTTTGTTTGTTTGTTTTTTCAAAATAAAAGATGAATAGGAAAAATAATTTGAAATATTTGAGCCAACTTCATGTTATGAGAATAATGTATATCCAGCAGATTTAATTGCTCCATAGCTTAGTACATTGTTACAACTTTATTTCTGGGCAAAGGAGAGTATAATTAAAAGAAAGGAGAGGAGCACCAGACTCTTGATTTCAGCTCAGGTAGTGATGTCAGAATTGTGAGATCCAGGCCCTACTC